CGCGCGCGCCACCATCAGTGATGCGCTCGGTTATTAATGGCATAGAATTGCCGCCATAACTAACTAACTAACTAACATTAAAAAAGTTAAATTGCAATCAACCACCCCTTTAATGAAAACTTTAGAAACTGAAACTGTTGCTTTACAAGAACATCTACAAAAAAATAAGAAGCATATTGATGAATTAAAGAAAAAATTAGTAGACCTACACTGAAAAAAAGGAAAAGCAGTGTTACTGAATTTACTAAAACAATACACTTACAGTCTACTTAATAAATTTATGTTTGAGATGCAAACATAAATTTATTGCGTAAAGTCTAAATGAAATTCAACACAGTCATCAAAACATGATATAATCACTTTGCAAGAAAATGTTCAAACTGATTCAGATTTCCAACAAATGGTGTTAACGTAAAATTATTTTTTCTGCTGTTTGATTTACTTAATTAAAATGAGCTCATGTCACACAATTACTTTGCATTTTCTTCTCAACTTAATTCCATTGCGTACAATTAATCTAATTCAGTTTTGTGAAGTACGTCGTTTGCGCGGGAGCAACGTGCACGAGAGCGTCTGCGCATGCGCTTTGAAAACTAGGACCGTTGGTATAGAAAAGGACACATGAGGGGACTGACTGACTTGTTTCCAAAGCTCGTTAAAAGGTAAGAATTTCAGTAAAAAATCGTATGATATATTATAAAAATGCAGTCATTGTCAGATTAAATGCAACAATAATGTTTTAAGATAACTCCACACGCTTTTAAATCATGTCGACGGTATATTTCGTCGAGTGTCGTCGCAGAAATTATTTTTTTTTTTTAGGTAACGTTAACGTTAAATATTACTGGTAGTTTATCAAACTTCTACAATGCGATTAAATCATTCACAACTGGAAACCAAGTTTTCATCAGGCGAATTATAATGCCTTTCAATACATTGGCTAAAAAGTGTTAATTTCACAGCGTTTGAGTTAACTTAGATTTTCAGAATCAGTGATCATAAATATTTCACGGCATTTTGCGCTGAGGGTTGATAGGAAAGAATGCGTACGTATTAACAAAAAAGGGGGAACCTAACTGAAGTATAAATTAATGCTTCACAAGAGCGAGGTTTAATAATACCTTATGACAATGAATAATTATCCAAGTCTAACTATCGAGATGGAGATTAACGTTAAACGTTTTTGCACTTTACGTGGACCGTAAAGCATTGAAATCGGTTAAAAAATGTCAGCGTTATTGTGCTTTGCATCCAGAAAACCCGCTGCTTCCAAGTTCACTGCTATGTGTTTTTAGGACCGGTGTTTCGACAATCTGTGCTACATCTCAGAATGAGCTAGCTACCCTCCACTGACTTTAGGATTTGGGTGGGGGAGGGGTTCGTAGCCGTTGTCATATCGCAGCAATAGGCAAAAGCGCTCAATGCTCCGTCAGTGTATGTCTATGAGAGGAACAATGTTTACAGAAGGTTTTTGTGTTATTGAAAATGAAATGAAATGAAACGTGACAACAAACCATTAAAATTTGTATTAAAATTAAATTTGAGTGAAGTTATCAAAATTATGTTAAGATGACTTGATTTAATTGCACAGAATTAACATGATCAAAGCATATATCTAAAATAAAATAATAATGTTAAGCTAACATAACTGAATTATGTTAGGATAACTTGAAAAGACTACACATTACTTTTTGAAAATACATCTGATTAACACAAAAGTATTATAATAAAACCACGTAAATGCGTAGGACACTGAGCTCAAACTGAATGTGTGGAACCAATGTCCATAATTCAATCGAGTAAATCCAACAATTCTTTTTTTTCAGTGTATTGGTAGTCAGAGCACAAGGAGCTTTAATCCACTCATTTTTTCAAACTGTAGCCCAAATGGATGTCCTTTCGAAAAGTAAAAAAAAAAGGTCAAAGTGAAATGACTCATTCTTTGAGCTCAGCTACAGGACAGGAAATCACTGAGCCTGCCAATATACGTAGCTGTGGAGTGGATTTTTTTTCTTATATGTATAAAAGTGAACTAATGGAATGGCGTGCAGATGCTGCTAACTTTTTTGAAGGACTGCCAAAGGTGGATGATGAGTCTAATAAAGGACTACAATAGAATTTGTCATTGCAAGAGCTTTATACTGCCATGACGAGCATGGATAATTGTAAATCTCCAGGAACTGACAGGCTGCCTGTTGAGTTTTATAAGACTCTATGGCCCGTCATAGGAGAGGATCTGCTCACTGTTTTAATGACAGTCTGAAAAGAGGACTCTTGCCACTAACCTGCAGAAGAGCAGTCATTACACTATTATCTAAAAAAGGTGATATTCAGTATATCAGCAATTGGCGCCCTGTTTCACTTTTATGTTCAGAATATACAATTTTGTCTAAAGCTTTAGCCGTGAGACTTAGTAAAGCCAATTAATACACTGTGATCCATTTTATTGCATTCCTGTCAGGAAGATGGACTGTCTGTGTTGTGCTTTGTTCCCAATGACCTAGTTTTCCCTCGTGTGTTACATGCCCATATTTGGTTTCCTTCCTGCTCCTGTTCCTGTTCCTATTGTGTTTCATTGAGTCCAGGTGTGTCTTGTCATCCCCTCGTTTAGTTAAACTATGAATAGCAAGACCTGGTTTGCAATGTCAGAATGATGAACAGTACTACTACATTATTGAATTAAGGAAACAAGAAATAAAAAAAAATAATAATAAAACTCCAGTGACTGTCAACAAGTTTAATTTCATTCACATTCAGATGGTTATCTGGAAAGACAAGCTTTTCCTTTTATTGTGTGCCAAAACATTTTGGCTTTGCCTTTGAGCCAACAAGATTAAAATATGAGGAACAACATCACAATGGAACTGTTTTCTATGAGTAGTGTTTTACAGACAGATTAATAGTGTTTGTATGCTGTGCTGTTTGATACAAATATACAAGGGAAGTAACTAATTTGTCAAAGAAATCATGGTATAGTTTCTTGGCTGACTTTTACAATTCACCAGTGAAATTACTGGTCATATAAGATATAAGTTTACTAGAAAGTGTGTATTTTAGATGACTGATCAACTACCCACATAACAGTGTATAAAAATGTATCTGATGCAATAAAATCTATGTAAAAAAGAAAAAAAAAACTCACCTGTTGACAAACTCTAAAACATCAGTGAAAATATATATAGCTATATACAGATATAGCAACGTAGAATAAAAATGTATAAATAAACTTCAATTAATTAAATATCAGCTATGCATAGAAACACAACACCTCAAATGTATATTTAAAAAACATAATTAAGCATGCAAGTAGAAACTATATCTGCATGATTTTATTACTTTACTCTGGCGGCATTTTTATTTTTTTACTTTATGTCGGCATTTCTTAATCATTTTATGAAAGCATGTCTTTTAACAAACTGAACAAACAACCTCACTCTAAAAGTCCCTAGATTTCCCCTAATGGCTCTTTGGCATTAAGTCAGTTCACATTCTGGTATGCTAAGGAAGAAACTGCTATTTATAAAAAGAACTAGCAATCAGTTCACTCATGAAGGGAAGAGACTTTTTAATAGATATGCACTTCATCAAATTTGTAGGAGATTACTGTATGCAAACATTTAACTTTTTTTTTTTTTAATCATCCCATTTTGGGTATGAATTCACTCTTAAACCTTGGTTGTTTATTATTGTTGGCAAAAGTTTTCAATATTTTCACTATAGTGAAACCCACCCACCCATCCATATATATATACAGTGGGTACGGAAAGTATTCAGACCCCCTTAAATTTTTCACTCTTTGTTATATTGCAGCCATTTGCTAAAATCATTTAAGTTAATTTTTTTCCCTCATTAATGTACACACAGCACCCCATATTGACAGAAAAACACAGAATTGTTGACATTTTTGCAGATTTATTAAAAAAGAAAAACTGAAATATCACATGGTCCTAAGTATTCAGACCCTTTGCTGTGACACTCATATATTTAACTCAGGTGCTGTCCATTTCTTCTGATCATCCTTGAGAT